TTGAATAACAGAGATACGATCCTTTTAAGATCAAGTGCCTCCATGGAGAAAGCTTTCTATTTATTTATTCTACTTGTATAGCCACACACCTCAAATATGTGATTGGGTGGCTTACAATAAAATAAAAAATAAAATATATAATGTAAAACAAAAACATATAATATCCGAGATCATAAAATAACTGTGATGAGTAGCCACAAGATTGCAATCTACTATTTATGGCACTCCCAATAGGATCAGCCATCATGATAAGTGAAGAAATACATCACAGTCTAGCACTTGGTAGATGTCATGATGGCCTTGGAAAACATATTGAAATGGAGTGATGGGTTTATACCTATAAAAAGATCAGAAATGGGCAAGCCATGATATTCCCTGTGACACTTTATTATCAGTAGAAGGTAAAGTTGGGCTTTGAAGAAGCAAGATAGGAAGAATAATTTATATTTTGAACTTTTGTTTTGGAGAAAACTCTTAAGACTACTGAAATAGGAAATAAAGGGATTATTCAATAAATCAACCCAGAGTTCTCACTTGAGGCACAAATGAATAGGCCAAAATTGACTGACTTCAGCTAATTAGGTGAAGACCAAGCTCTCTGGAAAAGACCTGATGTGGGAAATGTTAGAAGAGGAATATCAGCAGCAAGGAGAATAGATTAGAAGTGTACCATTGGACACTTGTAAAACTAGATTAGGGACAGATTGTCATGGAGAAAATGGTTGCTAAGAGTGATTTGATGGCATGTAATCAATAAGTAGTATCTTCCCAAGCAATCATATAGCTTTATAAGAGGGAAGGTGATCTATGAAGGTATGAAGCTGCAGTTATAGATATTACTTCTTGGGGATGCACCTGTATTATGGAATAGCTTCTACTGGAAATGTGATTGGCCCTTATGTCATTGACTTTCCATTCATTTTGGGACAGATTTCAGAGGCTCAAGTGATGCCATAAATGCTTTGATGTTAGAAGATTCCATTATATGTGGTCCTCACCTAGTAACTGCTTCATTCAATGACTGAAGTAAACAACAATACTGAAAAAAAATAACCTTACAATGCTCACAGTTACGGCCTTTGCAGCATCACTCAGTCATATGATTGTCATTACAATCACTATACATTGCCCTGACTTGTTTTCTTCCCTTCTCCACTCGCAGAGACTGGAAAGAAAGAGATTACAAGAGACTAAGCAGGCGCACAATGGGGAATACACATCAAAAGCAATGTGATGTTGCTGGCAAGTCCAAGCACTCTCAGATCTCGGGCTGGGAGCCATGAACATGCTACAGTCTGGTGTATTCCCCATTGTGAGCCTGTTACTCTCTTGTAATCCCTTTTTCTCCAATGAATGTAAATATATTATTTTCCTTCTTCTTGATTATCCCAGCAGTGAGGCAAGCATCCCAATGGCTGTGTTGAAAGAATTGTCCATCTGGGTTCAGCTCCAAGTGGGAAGAAAGACACTGGAAACATGGAGACTGCTTGGAAAGATGGTTTAATGGTGGACAGGACCATGTGGTTTGAGGTCCTGGGCAAAAACAAGCATAGGGGAGAGAGAGGGAGAGAGATTTATACCCTCTCTTGGGCCATGCCTTGGAGCTTCCTGTTTCTGTATAAGAAATGTACTCTGATTGGTTGTCAGACTCCCATGGGGCCATGTAGGGATAACTTTGTAGGTTGTCTTGAGTCCCAGGCCTGGTTGAATCTTGCTGGGTGATGCAATCTCCCCAGCTGCCATGTGGTGAGTTCTGTTACTAGATGGGTAGAGGGCTAAGTCTATTATGTCCTGAGGGTGAAGACCAACTGCTTTGTAGATAAGCTGGCCCAGTCTTTTGTATTGTAGATAACCAAAATATCTGCTGGGGGCAGGGAGTTTTTGTCTTAAGAGTTATATTTCTCTTTTAGGGAAAATATTCTGCCTTTTTAGTATTTCCTAAAATATTTCATTCTTCTAGGAGAGGGGTGGGTGCTAACTTTCTACAGCTGGAGAAAGGAAAAAGAAAAGTCATGGTCACATGATTTCTCACTTAACCACTGCTTCTTTTACCGACAGAGCTGCCAGCCCCAATTGTGCTAGCTAAATGAAGACTATCTGTACTATTTTATTACTTTAACATTTTAATTGTACTGTAGTCAGTTTATTGTTTGGGCTGTATTGTGAATAGCTGAGATCTTGTTAATTCTGGCAAGAACAAATAAAGAAAGTATATCCAATAAGTTATCCCTTTGAAAAATTATGAATAGACCATAGCTTTTATAAAGCTCTAGAGTCAGGATGGGTTCTTATATGAAGTTGCTCGTTTTAAAGTTGCTTGGACAAACCTTACTGATTATATGTGAGTTTGATCCTTGTCCTTTGTCACTTACAATATGTGATATCCAGCTGTGTCCAGGAAATGATAAATTCCTCCTTGATGAGAGGTAATAAGCCAGCCTTTTGAACAAATGGCGTAGTTAGACCTGTCTAGGATGCACAAGATCTGAATAAAAGATCTTCCTGATAAAATATTTAAATCAACATCCAAACTCCAGACAGTTAGTTTTGGAAGAAACTGGTAATACTGTGTTTGAATTTTAACAGTATGTTGTACGGTGTGTTGTCTTTGAAAATGTCAGAAATTTCAGTAGACTTAAAAGAAGACAGTGAGATGGTTAATAGGATCTGGCTTATATTATCATGTTATGTCATGTGCCTCATGATACATGTTAAGTTCATTTCCAGACTCGGTTCAAAGTGTTAATACTCCCCTTAAAACATTAATCAGTCTGGGACCACACTTTTCCTTCACATGCTCTTATCCAGATGTTAATATAATCTTCAGAAATCTCCCTTAAGATGCCTCTGTTGAGAGATAAGATAGATGGTAACTAAAAAAGGCCTTTTAATAAGGGGTCTTATTGTAACCCCCCCCATTTAACTTCTTAGCAATCATTCCAATAGCCCTACCCTCCGAATACTTCAACAAAAGCACCGTTCTATGTATGTACAGACCAAGATTTTTGTACTTTATTGTCAATATATTTTCCATTTGCAATTGCCAAATCAGGATTCTTATTTTTTTCGTTCTACTTTGCCTAAGATTATCTAACCCCCAACTGTGTTACCATTTATATTTTGAAACAATACATTTTTTTAAAAATAATTTGAGAATCCTCAAACGTAGTTTTTAATGTGTTCTCTCTCATCTATCTATCTGTCTGTCTGTCTGTCTGTCTATATCTATCTATCTATCTATCTATCTATCTATCTATCTATCTATCTCTATCCTCTATATCTATCTATCTTCTATATCTATATCTATCTATCTATCATCTATCTATCATCTTCTATTTATATCTATCTTTTATTTATATCTATCATCTATCTATCTATCATCTATCTATCAAGCTTCTATTTATATCTATCTTTTATTTATATCTATCTCTATCAATCATCTATCTATCTATCTATCTATCTATCTATCTATCTATCTATCTATCTATCTATCTATCTATCTATTCTACCATAATCATAATCTATCATCTATATTTATAATCTCTCTAGCTAATTTCTTGAACTGCCCATCTCAGCAACTGACTCTAGACAGTGTACATCATAGAACATAAAAACAAATGAATAACAATTAAAAAGATCTTGTAACTATTACCAAATATATATCCAAAGGCTACCAGAGGCT